TCTTCATGTGTCTGTTGGCCATCAGAATAAGGACAGTTTTTGTTAATGGCAAATTAGGTAGTATAATAGGTTCCACAGTAAGGTACAAGTGAAGAACTTTATATCTCTGAAGCTGACAAATCTGTATTTGAAGCATTTTCTGTCATTCTGAGCACCAAAAACTGACCAGAGAGTAAAGAAACTTGAAATTATACTATGAGGAATAGTAAAAACAATGGAGTATATTCTTGAGTTCAGTTTTTGCAAATTCTAGTACATTGTTAGCACACAAATACCCTAAGTTCTGCTTGTTGAGAACACAGCTTCCACTTAGTAATGTCAGGTGCTGTCTTTAATAGTTTATGTCAGCTAACTAAAATTCATTTCTGTAAAGTCATAGTTGACCCTCCAGTGGGTGGGTTTTCAGAGGCTTCAGATCATTGGGGAATCCTTAAAATACTGGAAAATGATAGAAGATTAAAGAAGTTGTAACCATTAATTTGAGAGAAAACCTTAAATATTCTTTGAAATAGAAAGGAATTCATGCAGTTAGCTCAGAAGTGCTTTTATAAAATTTTAGTCTCAAAACCTTCTGTTCCGTCTCAGGTAACAACCAATCTTGAAAGCAAATTGGTTTAAGGGAAAAATCAACCAAATTCATTGCCATGGAGTCATTTCAGTCTCAGCAAACTCGTAGGATAGAGTAGAACTGCACATTGATTTCTTGAAGACTATTTACTGAAGTTGTTGTTGTTGTTAGTGCTGTCAAGTCGAATATGACTCATAGACACCCTATAAAAAAGGTAATCCTGTCTTGCACCATCCTAATACTTCACCTGACACACAAGAGCCTATTGCAGCAGTCACCGTGTCAGTCAGCTTGGTTGAGGGTCTTCTCCTTCACCAACCTCCACCCTTCCCAACATCATGTCCTTCTCCCAGGAATAGCCCCTCCTAGTAACATGCTCAAAATATGTGAGGTGAAGCCTCATCATTCTTGCCTCCAAAGAGCACTCCAGCTGCACCTTCTCCAGGACATACCTGTTTGCTTTCTTGGCCATCCATGGCATGTTTAGTGCTCTTCTCTAACACCACAGCTCAACGGTGTCAATTCTTTTTCTGTCATCCTTATTCACTGTACAGCTCTCAGATGCATAGCTAGTAATCTGAAAGACTATGACCTGGATCAGATGTACCTTGGTCCTCAAACTGACATTACTACTCCTCAGTAGATTGAAAATGTCCCTTACTGCAGATTTTTTCTAGTGCAATGTGTGTCCTAATTTCCTGACTGCTCATACCAGGGGTGTTAATTGTGTATCTAAGCAAGGTGAAGCTTTTGACAGTTTCAGTCTCTTCTCCTTCCATCATGACACTGTCTCTTGGTCCAGTGGTAAAAGTCTTTGTTTTCCTGATACTGAGATGCATTCCATACTGAAGATGTCATTCTTTGATCTTCTGCAACAAGTTCTTCAAGTCCTTCTCACTTTTCAGCAAGGAAGGTTGTGTTATCTGCATAAGGCAGGTTATTGATGAGTCTCCTTCCAATCCTGATGCCACATCTCTCTTCATAGGGTTCAGCTTCTTGGATAATTTTCTCAGCATATAGATTGAATAGGTGTGGAGAGTGAATACAACCCTGATGTACTTCTCAGTTTTAAACCATGCAGTGTTCCCCTTAGGAAATACTATTCCTTGCAGTGAGACATCATTCTTGGGAGGATGGAGGGATGGTGAAAGACCCTCAACTAGAGAGATTTACAGTGACTGCAGCAATGGGCTCCAGTTCTGTCAGATGATGAAGAGGATGGCACAGGATAGGACAGGGTTTAGATCTGCTGTTCATAGGGTCTCTATGAGTCGTACTCAATTTGGTAGCACTTAACAAGAACTTTGGCTGGATTTCAATTAGTCTCAGAAGTTAAGAAAAGTGAGAGAAATTTACAAACATTTTGGTGAATTCTCTCATTTCTAAGAGCCTCGAGGAAAGAAGCAGAGTACTTGATTTCTGGCTTTGACTCATAAAGTTGGCTCCTTTACACTATGCATACCTCTTTTCCTAACTCTGGGGCAGTTTATCTCACTTAAGTATGCCCTTCCTCATCTTCCACTGATTGTCAGTATCTACCTGCTACTTAATGACAAGACTGGATTCCAGGGATGGCCCTGATTTTATAAACATGAACTGACTCAGAAAACTTGTGTGTCTTGCTCAGGGTCCATTGTTGTTGTTATGTGCCATCGAGTCGCTTGCGACTCATAGCGACCCTGTGTACAACATCCCTAAACTCTGCTCTGTCCTGTGCCAATCGCACCGTCTCCGACACACCGATCCCAATTACCCCAGTCACTGAATCAGTCCACCTCATAGAGGGTCTTCCCCTTCTGCGTTGTCCCTCCACCCTACCAAGCATGATGTCCCTCTCCAAGGACCTGTCCCTCCTTGCAACATGTCCAGAGTATGTTAGATGGAGCCTTAGAATCCTTGCCTCTAAGGACACACTGACAAAGGAGATTAATCAGAACTGGCTTTGATAAGCACTGTGGCAATTGGACAATTAAAACAGACATTCGGGGCGGGGAGGAGAAGAACGAACTGGGAAGGAGGGTAGAGGAAACAGTGCAACAATGAAGGAATGAAACCCCAAAATATCTGTAAATGTTCATTAAAACGTAATAAAATTGAATAATAATAATAAAAAAAAAATACTTGCCTCCAAGAAGCAGCCCGGTTTGATCCTTTCCAGGATGAATCTGTTTGTTTTCCTAGCAGTCCATGGTACCCTCAATACTCTTCTCCAGCACCACAGCTCAAAGGCATCAACTCTCCTTCTATCCTCCTTAGTCATTGTCCAACTCTCTGGTGCATAACAAGTGATAGCAAAGACCATGGCCTGTATCAGACGCACCTTCGTCTCCAAAGAGACACCATTGCTCTTCAGTACTTTGGAGAGGTCCCTAACAGCATACTTTCCCATGGCAATACGTCTTCTAATTTCCTGGCTGCTGGTGCCGAGAGTGTTGACTGTGGAGCCAAGCAAACTGAAGCTGTGAACAATCTCAATCTCTTCACCATCCATCCTGATGCTGCCAATTGGCCCAGTGGTGAGAATCTTTGTCTTCTTGACATTGAGCCTCAATCCATATTGGAGGCTGCAGTCCTTGACCCTCTGCAGCAAGCCCTTCAAGTCCTCCTCAGTTTAACCAAGCAGGGTTGTATCATCTGCATAGTGCAGATTGTTGATAGATCTTCCACCAATCTTGACCCCACATTTCTCCTCATAGAGCCCAGCCTCCCAGATAATCTGTTCTGCATACAAGTTGAAAAGGTATGGAGACAGGCAACATCCCTGGCGTACACCCTTCCCAATTTTGAACCAGGCAGTGTTTCCTTGCTGTGTTCTGATGATGGCCTCTTGGTCCAAGTATAGGTTTCGCATTAGCACGATCAAGTGTTCTGGGATTCCCATTCTTCTGAGAGTCAGCCACAGTTTGTTATGATCCACACAGTCAAATGCCTTTGCATAGTCAATGAAACACAGATAGACATTCTTCTGGTATTCCCTGCTTTCAGCTAAGATCCATCTAACATTAGCTACAATATCCCTAGTACCATGACCCCTTCTAAACCTAGACTGGACTTCTGGCAGTTCTCTGCTGTTGTGTTGTTCCAGTGGTTTTTGGATAATCTTCAGTAGAATTTTGCTTGCATGTGAAATCAATGATATTGTTCTATAGTTTCCACACTCTGTTGGGTCACCCTTCTTTGGGATGGGAACAAATATAGATCTCTTCCAGTCAGTTGGCCAGTTGGTGGTTCTCCAGATTTCTTGGCACAATTTGGTGAGCACGTCCAGGGCAGCATCTGCTAGCTGAAAACGGGGTCCATTAGCCACTGAGAATCAGAATAATCTTCCATTAAATGTATTTTTTTCCAACATTTTTTCTCTTTGAAAGAGACTGTCATGTTTAATTATTTCTCAGTTGGCTCTACAAGAAGTGGTTATAAACTGAGAACACAACTCAGAAATGCTATGGTTTGGATCAGGAACACCTTAGTCTTTAGACTGAAATCATTGTTCTTTTGAGACAGGTTTTTCAAGATAGAGCAAGGTTCAGAGTTATTTAGAGGGTTGCTACAAGTTATAGTTGATTCAATGGCACATAACAATAAAAAGCAGTCATTATAGGGAGTGGGTAACTTTTTTTTTAAGGAATTATTGTTTTAGATCTTTTCCCCCATTCTCCTTGCATGTTATGTAAAGGTACGTGAAGTTAACATAGCTGTAATACAGAGAAAGAAAAAGAAATGCTTTATTCAGTATATTGAGGGATATAAGCAGGAATTAGAAGAGAAGTTTCTCAGATAGGACCAATACTCATTGAAAAATAAGAGGACCATTTTGAACATTTACATCATGTTCAAAAAGAGGTGTAGAGTGGATTCTTCACAAATTCAACAGTTATTTACAAAACAGCCATTTCTAGTTCTCATATAGGGAAGATGGAACAAAAAACAAAGCTAATAAATTAGTTACCAGTAAATGAAACAAAAGACACTTTTAAGTTAGATTGGAAGGGCCCTTTGAGACTAGATGATGAAATACTGAATATATGGATACAAATTCTACTGGTGGGTCCTTTAGCCCTGTATGGACTAACAGGTCTTTCAAGTCTCTGTGCTAGAAAAGTCTTTCTGATCTCATTTTAGAGAAAGTACAGAATGACTTGACGGGACCTGTACATTTTATTGATGACACATCTTGTCATTAAGGTGAGAGTTAACTAGTATGTGGCTAGTTGGTCCTCAGTAAAGGTTGGGTGAGTATATAAATAAGAGACTAACTCTCATCCTATTGCTCTTACTTTTTGTGTGCTCAGAAGAAAACTAATAATCTGCTTACAGAATATTTGGATCTTGAAGGATATTAATGACTGATTATTAAACTTTTGGGAACCTTTTGTTGTGGTATATCTTACCCTGAATTGGTTTTTGTTGGTTTGTTTTGTCCAGCTATTCACTTCAGCAAGCTCAAGCATTTTATGCATTTCCATTTCCCCAAATGATGGCTGAAACTCCTAGTGTGGAAACCATGAATGAACAGCAAATGTCAGCAGAAGTTCCAGTACCTGCTGCTGCTCAGGAGCTCGTAAAAGGTAGTTTTCACACCGATAGTTTAAAACATGAGCTATCGAAGTAGCAAGTTTATGTATGTGAGGGTTTAATGATGAATTTAGAATTAAAAAGTGTAATTAATTTAGAAAACAAACTTTTGGTCCAGGTCTATCTTTCAGTAGCTTTTTGATTTGGAGGAAGCTGTTCAGCTTCTCAGAACTTCATTCTGTCCCTGGGTTCAAAAGCATGATTCTCTCATTGGAATTGTTGCTGTACCTCTTAGGTGGGCTTGTTTCTCTCCTGTCCTGAGATGTCCCTGTTGATAGGTGAGACAGATCATGTCATCCTCTGCCCACAACTCTTAGTGGGAGGAGAAAAGAAAAAGCAGAAAACCGCCTCATTGCCTTCGGAAGCCAGAAAACCAGGGACACTGTCATCAAATGGAATTTGTCTCGTGATTTGCATCTTATTAAACCCTGAACCACCCTTAGAATAGCAAATGAAAAACACCACTGTATTTACTAGTATGTACACTAAACTCTTCTATACAAATATTTTCTGTTCAGCCCTTGTGAAGTGCGAAGATGGCACAGGATAGGGCAAAGTGTCTGATACATGACAGAGTTCAGGTCTGTTGTTCATAGGATTGCTATGAGTCATATGTGACGGAACGGCACCTAACAACATGAAACCCATTAGATGTTTGAAAAGTTTTTAAACATGAACTGAAGGATTCGGACTCAAGAACTTAGAATTGAATGAGGACACTTCTCATTTAATACAGTGTCCACGTAAATAACTGTAATATGGAAAGAAGGTCTCTCCTGGTCTTGAAATTATTCTGTGTAAACACAACCCTACCTATTTAAACCAGTTCAGAAGCTGACATCTCTTTTTTGAGTTTGTTTTAAGTGAAGGTTACAGATCATATTGGTTTTTCATTTGGTCATTCATCTATTTTGTAACATTAATGTTACTTCATTAATGTAATTAATTACAGTATGTGATCAGTATGTGTATTACCTTTCCTTTCACCCAGCTAACCTACTTATTAATTTATTTTTTTATTTTCTTGTGTGCCGTCCAGTCAGGTCCCACTGGCACAGGAGGAGATTGCCCCTCCTTCTCCAGTGCAGCAGCTGGTTCAGCTTCTTGCCACTGGGCCACCAGAGCTCTCTTATTTATTAATTTTTGCACCCCCCTCCCTCCCTTCCCATCCAAGAATGATTTTACCTTTGTGTAAATCTTTCCTTAGATTTGTATAATGGTCTTAAACCATAATCATCCTTTTGTGACTGACTTGTTTCAACTGGCATAATGTACAGAAGCCAGCTTCTTAATTTAGGTATCAGGCAAAGCAATCAAAACTTAAGCTACGTGAGGAAAAACATCAGACCAGATGGAACGAAGAGTCCAAGGCCTGTCCAGTAGGAATGCTTAGGGATCCTGTTTTTCTTAAACTGAGACTGCACCTCGGGATTCTGCTCCGGCCTCCCAATCTCATAGCCTCTCCCTCCCGGAGACTCCCCTGAACACCCACAGCCTCTGCTCTGGAGACCACCTGATTATCTACAACCTCTGAGACCACCCTGAACGCACACAGCTTCTGTGCCTGCCTCCCTCCCACTCGTTCCATTGCACCACGATTCTAGTGCCTGGAAAAGTCTGTCTGCACTTAAAACCTATTTCATCTTAAAAAATCCCTCAGTCACAAAAGGACAAATATTACATGATGCCACTGTTGTAGAATGGGACTAACCTCGGGGTTGGGGAGAGACTGAGTAAGATGGGTTCAATAATGTATACTGCACTGAAACAGAGGAGGGAGAAAACTGTTTAAAAGAGATATGTGACTAGGTATTTCTGTCATCACAGGAGTCTAGAGCCATGGCTACATGGTGGAGGGGACCTGGGGGAGTGTTTGTAAAACAACGAAAGAATCTTTTCTTTTACTTTTCCATAATTTTTGACTCATGTACTTATAACTTGTTAGTCAAATTTGTGTCTTCTAGGTTGCAACACCCCCATGATACATCTTCAAGGATATGAACATGTACGGCCAAGCACAATCAATAACAGTGCATCTAAGTTCCAAAATCAATCTCCATAATAGTCTATGTGTTTCCTACTGCCAAAGGGGCCCTTTAGAGTAGTGAGAGAAGATCTTCACCCTGAAACCCACAGCGTCCCTTTTCAGCAGGAAGTAGCTAAGAGAATACGCCATCCCCTTTTCCTTATGACTCAAGGTGAAGTCTCTCTCAGGGAGGAGTGATAGGGAATGGCAAAGGACACACTGGCAAAGGAGATTAATCAGAACTGACTTTGACAAGCACTGTGGCAATTGGACAATTAAAACAGACATTCGGATGGCGGGGGAAGAAGAACAAACTGGGGAGGAGGGTAGAGAGAATGGTGCAGCAATGAAGGAATGAAAACCCAAAATCCCTGTAAATGTTCAGTAAAACTAATAAAATTTAATAACAATAAAAAAAAATCCCTGAAACAAGCACTATTCTAACCTAGAAGACCTAAAAATTTATCTTACAAGTACTCTTAAACTATTTAGTATGTGCCAGGTACTATGATACTTTTTGGGCTCTAAAAGCCCAGATTATGCCCTGAAAAAAGTCATAATCTAGTAGAGGAAACCCATGTTTGCCTAAGGATGTCAAGTGATGGAGAAGGCCCGTGATGCTTTGGGAGCTAGTGGCATTAATTAAGCCTAAGTTAATTAGGCTGAGGGCTTGGGCAGCTTTCCAGGGCAGTGATGATACTGGAGATCCAAAACACCACGATGGGGAGACTTGATCACCAGACAGAAGAGACCAGGGGGGATTACAGACGAAGGGGACAGTGTGTGGCAAGGGAGAGACATGAAATGTGACTCGATCACAATCTGAGCTTGAGTCTGTATCTTTGGAGTCTGGCAAAGAAATGGTGAGAGATGAATGTGGATCAGTTTAGTCTATCCTGAAGGCAACTGTTGAGAGAAGATAAGCAGAGGAATGACATAGTAGATTGAGGTTTTACAGAAGTCATTCTGTAAGTAGAGGGCTGACTGAGGGGAAAAAACAGGCTGAACTTGCAGGCGAGGAGTGATTTTAGAGACTGAATAATCTAGGCAGGAAATGAAAAGGACCCGAACCTTTGACAGAGGAATACGAAGATGACAGACTTAGAAAAGACGCAGGAGGCTGGGTCACTGGCATGGTTGATAGAGTTCATGTGGGGAGGGCGTGGCAGCAGGAGTCTGGACATGACTGAGGTTTCTGGTGTAAGCAGTTGGGTAATGGAGGTGCACCAGCATAGTGACTCACCAGTACAGCAGTAGCTCAGTGCTTTGGTTTTAACTCTGGACTCTCTGCAGTCTAACTGCACTGTATTGAAGCTTCCCTCCGCCTTTGCTGTTTTTGTTCATAGGAGTGGCGAGCCCTAGATGTACTGCAGCTACAAGCCAGTGGTGGGGTGTTCGTGCCCCTGGCCCTCGCTGAAAAACCAAACCCAAACCGTTCCTGTCCAGCCGATCCTGTCTTAACAGGACGCTGAAGGACAGAGTAGAACAGCCCGATAAGATTTCCTAGGGTGGAATACTTCCAGGTAACTTTTTCTCCCGCAGAGCAGTTGAGGAGTTCAGACTACTGACTTTGCAGTTAGCAGCTGACTGCTTCACCACTGGGCCACCAGGGTTTTTCCTTGACTCTTGAGGAGGTGCTAAGTCAGTGTGAGGAACACAGGGGAAACTCCTTTCCAAAGATACTCAGGAAAATGCCAAACAGCAGTAGGGTAGACTCCTGGGCCTCTTGAGGTCAGTGGTTCATAAACGGGGAGGATTTTGTTTCCCAAGGGACATAGGACATCTGGAGACAGTATTAGCATGCCTGGCAGGCTGTTTACTGGCATCTAGTGGGTCGTGACTGGCGATTAGAGGTATGCTTTGAAACAGCCCGCAATGTTCAATGCCAGCTGGCATCAATGCTGAGGCTGAGGAACAGTGTTTTAGGGCCTAAGATGAGACGCCTAGTCCTGCCTTCTGAAAAATACTGAGGCTTCACTCTCAGCAATTTTTGAGTTCTCCTGTTGTCTATGTGTTAAATGGAATATGTACTCACTCTGAAACCACAAGCTACTTGAGGTTTTCTACGGCTAGAAATTGGAGTTTAAAGGTTTTACCTCTTTCTTATTTTTCTGTTTATTGTTTCATTTGTTTACTTACAAAGTCATCTATATTTAGAATTCTTGGGAAGCTGTACTTGGATATTTTGGTCTCTGGGGAGGCCAAGATGCCAAATAACGTGGGAGCAGTCATCCGTGGTGGTTGTTATGGGCATTTCTTCCCCAGGGCAGTTAGCAGGGGAGGAGGGAGGCTGGACGTGTATTCTTGACGCTGACTGGCTTCTGACTCCTGGTGGCCCCACATGTGCAGAGTGGCACAGGCTTGCAGGGCTGTGGCCGTTGGGAAGCATTCTCCACATCTGTCTTCCCAGGTGCCTCAGGGTGGTTTCGAATCACAGCCTTTCAGCGAGTAATGGAGCTCTTAGCTGTTAGTGTCATTCTGTGAAGGGAAAAGTATTATAAAGGAAACTGATGTTGGAGACGTAAGAGCTTCATTTGAGGGAGAAGGAAAAGGGGTGTTGATAGGATGCTTTTTCTAGGAAAGCTGCCTTGTGGTGGTTGTGTGCTGTTGAGTTGACACTGACCCATAGCTGACCCTCTAGTGGGTTTTCAGAGGCAGTTGGTTCACACAGTAGGAGATTGTTCATCCTTCTCCCACAGAACGGCTGGTGGATTTGAACAGCATGCCTTTGGGATTACAGTACAGCTTTTTACCACTAGTCCACCAGAGCTCCCTAAGCTGGCTGGATTTATAAATTGTGACTCCCCAAAAACACATACTGCAAATCATTGTGTTTCAGAGACTCCAAAAGGAAGAAAAAGAAAACCCAGGACAACAGAGCCGAAGAAGCCACTGGAGCCCAAAAAGCCTACCACCCCCAAAAAACCCGGCAAGTCCGCAAAATCAAAGGAAAAACAAGAAAAAATTACAGATACGTTTAAAGTGAAAAGAAAGGTAGACCGCTTCAATGGCGTCTCAGAAGCTGAGCTTTTGACCAAGACTCTCCCTGATATTTTGACTTTCAATCTGGATATTGTGATTGTAAGTGTTTTTTCATTTTGTGTGAGTTTATAAAAACCATTCACGGATTAATTTAACAGTCCCGCCGCAAATAGCATTTTGATGAAAAATAATCATTTCTCATTTCTTGGATACTCTATGATAAATGTTGCCACTTCCAGGAAGCTACCTGTGTTATGTGGGATGTGTAGGAGGGTAAGCGTCAGAGTTTTGGGCTCTCTGGGCTCAGCATCCTACCAAGTGCTTTGACCTCAAACAAGCTTTCCTCCTCACCCTTCTTCCTAAATACCAGCTTCCTGGCGGGTAACATGGATGATGATCGTACTGCCTTCATAAGGTTGTGAAATGATCCGTATGAGCTGTTTAGACACCTCTGGGAACGTGGTCCATAAAAGAGAGCACTTGCTACCAAGTTTGACCTTTGCCAGTGACTGTCAGAGTTATCCTCACAGGAGAATGGTGACACTTCCGAGAAATAAGCTTATGTCCTGGGAGTCAAGAACTAGACCTGCAGCAGCCCATAGGCTCAGATGTTGATTGTTCCAGACTGAAGGGAGTTAGGTGGGGATGGGAGGTCATCAGGTTGGTATTTAAAAACAAGGGCTTTCAAAGTGGAGGAAAAACCCCCGAAACAAACTCACGAAAAACATTGACTTACCTCCAAGTAGAGTACTTAGCTTGGATTAAGAGTAGCTAAGTGATTAATAATTAACTATTGATTGTGATGCTTTATTAAATGTGTAATTTAGTAAAATCTGTTTTGTTCACTCCTCCCGATAAAAATCCCAGTTTTTAAGACTGAAATGTGTAAATATTTTGCTGTGTAGATTGGCATAAACCCAGGACTCATGGCTGCTTACAAAGGGCATCATTACCCTGGACCTGGAAACCATTTTTGTAAGTTCAATGCTTTTTTACCCCCTCTCTGCTTTTTTACTAAATATGTTTGTTTACACACACAAACCAAGTAGTTGTGTTTAGGTCAAAAGGGAAACAAATTTTTTCTTAGAGTAAGTGAGATTTCTGTGTGTGTGTGTGTAAAAATAGAAATGGTTTGATTGATCACAGTTTAACATTTTGGTGTATGAGTGGAGAGTCATGAAAAGAAGTGCTTCTGTTCTGTTTGAATTGCTCTTGATGATTTTACCTTTTCCCCCCAATATTTTAAAAAATCGCTAGGTATAGTCATGGTAACGGTAGTACATCTTTGTGGCAGTGCAGGCAGAATAGTGGCCTTTCCAGATGGCCTTACTTCCCGGGAGAGAAATGCACGGGCCATTAGGAAAGATATAGATGCCATGCTGGAGATACCGTCTACTGACACTAGCAGAAAATAGGATTTCAGATACTTATAAGAATATTGCCAAGACCTTTGAAACCCAGTGTAACTACTCTTGCCTTGTGTATGAGTTGACTTACATGACTGTGCCAAGTAGAACAAGGGGATGATAGGACCTCAGTAAATAGTTGATTAGTTAAAAGTCATGTGAAAAACGGCTTGGGCAAATGATAGTGTGCATTTTCAGAGCCAGTTAAAGAAGTGTGCCTTTACTTTCTCCACAATCAAGGCATTTCAATATTCAGTCCACTTAGTTTATCTTTGATTTACTTAAGAGGAAAAGTGATGATATTGCCAATTATTAGAAATGAAAATTAACAGTTTGAAAATTTCCTACACTGACTGGTAAATTTTTGGATGTGTTTACCTTAACTGCTTGAGACAAGTCGCCTCTGTATCTGATAAGATCGTTCTCTTGATGAAATGAGATAATCCATGTGCATGCAGTTTCCCTCAGGAACAAAATTTGTTTTTTGTTACTAATTCAGATTTGTAGGTATGTTGGAACAAGTGCATAGGGTTCTTAAACGTTTAGTTTAAGAAAAAGCTTGATACCTTTTCAGTGATTTAATGAAAGCTGCACAGGGAGCCCTAGTGGGTAGGGAGTTGTGCTGTCAACCCACAGTCAGGTAGTTCAAATCCATCAACTGATCCTCTGAAGAAAGATGAGCAATTTGCTCCCATGTTAAAAAAAAAAAAGGAAAGCTGCACAGGCAGCAGCGAATAGGGTTTGATTCCGTTGTTGCAACAACCCTCCCACTGTGACTGAATTGATTTCAGCTCCCAGTGCCCTGGCCAGACAGTTGCCCCACTGGGTTTCCATGTCTATAAGTCTTTAACAGGTACAGTCTGCTTTATTTTTCTCTCTCAAGAGCTGCTAGTAGGATCAAACCACTAACCTTTAGCTAGCAGTCTATCACCTAACTCACTTTGTCATCAGCCCAGCTCATTGATTTGGAATGGACTCTTAGCTATGTCATCAGGGCTCCTCAGTACGAATGGATTTGAAAAACAAAAAGTAAATTTGCTTAGCATTAAATGGGCGCATACAGTTGTCAGACATTGGTAACTTAGAAACTTGCCAGAAAGGGCTTATCACAGTACCCAATACATATTAATTGCTTAATTAAGTATTTGATTATCTGTTTTAAAATGCCTTAAAGTAGTCTTTGTTTATTTGATTTTGTTTTTAATTTCAAGACTAGAACGTAGACTACATCAATTTATTAGGGGGTAAAAAGGTTCAGCTTCCTTTATAAAAATAAACCGCCTCCTCTCTGCGCAGGGAAGTGTCTGTTCATGTCGGGGCTCAGTGAGGTCCAGCTGAATCACATGGATGATCACACTTTACCGGGGAAGTATGGCATTGGATTCACCAATATGGTAGAAAGGACAACGCCGGGCAGCAAGGATCTTTCCAGGTGATTATGTAACGTTTCTTATTAAAACTTGGAGCCTCAGCCGTTCTGGTGCCTCAGACACTCTTAAAAACTAGCATATGTGACTGACAGGTTTAAGCTAAGACCAGCAAATGGGTAGTCTGATGTTTTATTGAAAGCTGCCTATATTTAGCTTGCTACCAACATTGTCATATTTATATTTTGATGACTTTAATTCACTTTTAGTAAAGAATTTCGTGAAGGAGGACGTATTCTAGTGCAGAAATTACAGAAGTACCAGCCACGAATAGCGGTGTTCAATGGAAAATGTAAGATTTACTTTTAAATTTGAGCTTTATTCTTTGCTAACATTATGGGCAAGATAAACATGTTTGTATTTAATTTTAGGTATTTATGAAATTTTTAGTAAAGAAGTTTTTGGTGTAAAGGTAAAGAACTTAGAATTTGGACTTCAGCCCCATAAGATCCCAGACACAGAAACTGTAAGTCTTTAAAAATAAATTTATAAATAAGCTAAATATGAATTTCTTTTCTAGGTAATTTTCCTTTTTATCAGTAGGCCCACAGTATTTGTTCTTGAATGATATATGTATCAAGTTGAACCAATACTTAGAGATTCAGATATTAATTTTATTAGAAAAAAGAAACATTTGTTAGTTGAATGACTTGATCAGTTGTTGTATTAATTGGCAGAAATATTAAGAGGAGTTGACTGGGACACTATTTAAAAATTGTAATGGTATTGACTTGTTAAATCCAGTCCTTAATCTGTTGTGAAACAAACTTGTAAATACAGACATCATCCTGATTAATAAAACTGCTGATTGCCCCCTTTAAATATCTTAGTCCACCTCTACTTTAAAGCCATATAAAAAGTTCACTTGGTTGCCAGCCTCCAACAAGCTCCTGGTGTTTGATCTATTGTTTATACATAAAAGCAGAATAAAATAACCCTGTTGTTTTCTAATTTTTACTTTCTCTAGGGCTTCTGGAGACATTTATCTCAAATTTTGCTGTTTAAATAGTTTTGAGTTTTGTTAAAACTTTAAAAAATCACATATCTGTAGTGCTATCTGTTATGGTCCACCAGAGTATTATAGAAATCTCAGAATACACTTTCTGCTGCCATGTACATTTGAAGTCTCCTTCTGGTCTTAATGATTGTTTCTTTGAACTTAGCTACTTGGGTAAAATTATCCTCGTGAGCTCACTAAATTCTTGTAGGATGTTGCAGACCTGTAGGATATTGCAGACTTGTTCAGTAACTGCCAGATAAGGCCAAGATACATTTCTTGGATCTGTGATGACAGTTGTGCAATAATCAGTAAATCTGAATCATGTCATAGTTTTACTTCTTATAAACTCTCGAAATGTATTCCTTATCATGTGTTAATAACCCACTGCTGTAACCTCATAGCAACCTACAGGACAGAGCCGAGCTGCCCTGCAGGGTTTCTGGGGTTATAAATCTTTGCAGGAACAGACTACTTCACCTCTCCCCCATGGGGCACGTGGTAGGGTCAAGCCAGCAAGTTAATTCAAGTGACCTTGAAGTTAGCAGCCAACTGTTTATACACTGTGGCACCAGGACTCCTGTAAACCATTATTTGATTATGTTAATGATTCAGCTTTGAAGTAACAAAATAATCCTGCTTTTTCTAGATCACTTTAGGGAGCTTTGGGGGCTTAGTCGGTAAGGAGTTATACTGCCAGCCTAAAGACAGGTGGTTTGAATCCCCTGGCTCTGAGGGAGGAAGATTGGCAGTCTGCCTCCATGTTTACAGTCTCTGAAAACCTCCTGGAGGATCAGCTGTGGGTCAGGACCCGATGGCAGTGAGCTTTGAGCTCAGGATGACTTTCACTGAAAAATACGCTACTATGAAAGCTACGACCATTTACACTTACATGTCTTTAGGAATCAAGGTTTTCTAAATATTGTGCAACCAGAACAAGTTCTTACTTTATGTGGTGGATGATACAGAGGCTAAATTTAAAATGTTGCTAATACCTATAATTCAGCAGCCTCATTCTCATATATTGTTCGTGGAAATGTAAATTGATACATGCTCTATGGAAGGCATTTTGTCTTAACCAAAATGATGCAAATGTCTATTAGCCGTTCCCCTTGTAGGACTTTATCAAACAGATATCCTCACACATATTTGAAATGAAATATGTATAGTGCTACTCACTATTCTACTTGGAAGCATCTTAAATAGTCATAGCTGAGCTCTGCTTAAGTCAGTTTTGAAGCTAGTACACAGCTCTAAAAAAACCCAACTCTGATATTTATCTGAAATAGAATTAGCTCTGAGATACATTGTTGAGTAAAAAAAAGTAAGGTACGGAATAGGAACTAGGGCATGTTGCTGTGTGTCGTATGCTCTTTAAAAAGGGGGAGAAAATATGTATTAAGACACATTTAATTGTACTTTGCCTTTGGGACAGGGTTGAGAGGAAGACTTTTTATTGTTGACTCCTTCATGTGTTTGCTGTTAAAAAGGAAATGCTATTTATAGATGAATAGTGGATGGAGAAAGCTTCATTGCTTTATTTACTTCGTAATAAATACTCCAAGTTTGAACTGCTATTCTTACTGAGTTTCCATATATTAATGTGAAAAGTAACAATTTATTAACCCAAGTAAAGATCAATCTTCAAAATCTTAGTGATGAGACGATCCAGTAGGATAGTAAACTTTCTGTAACTCAGCGATTTTATGATTCTAGCTGTGCTATGTTATGCCATCATCCAGTGCAAGATGTGCTCAGTTTCCACGAGCCCAGGACAAGGTTCATTACTACATTAAACTGAAGGATCTAAGAGATCAGTTGAAAGGCATTGAACGGAACACAGATGTTCAGGAGGTGCAGTATACGTTTGACTTACAGCTGGCCCAAGGTATGTTCCTATCACCCCTTTGATTCCCTTTGTGTATATACACATCGTAGAGAGTGTGGTAGAGTTTAACAGTTAAGCAGAGAGAGAAGAATCTTATCTGTAGCTGGAGTCTCCTTCATTAAATTCTTCCATTTCCTCCGGGTCCTCTTGCAGACACTGAAGATCTAAGAGGAACAACCACCTGCTTAAAATAAAGTAGGATTTTACATCTGTGCAAGATATCTTAGCACTGTGTTACAGATTTAAAAATTATGGCCATATGTGAACATCAGGAGCTCTGGTGGTGGGTGTGGTGCATTAACCAGAAGGTCTGTCCTTCGAAACCACCAGTGCACGTAGGCAAAAGATGAGATGTCATCACCCATAGAAATCTACAGCCCTGAAGGGTTACTTGAGTTAGAGTTGACTTGACAGCAAGGAGTTTGAGTTTTAAAATTTGGGTGAACAGTATAAATTTGTTATGTTTATATAAGCATGCCAGGAAAATAATTGTCGTCATTTCTGAGTAAAGTAGGTTTTAAACTTAGTGCACAAAATCAATTTTAAATTCTCTTTACTCCGGTCACAGAGGATGCCAAGAAGATGGCTGTTAAGGAAGAAAAATATGATCCAGGTTACGAAGCAGCATACGGTGGTGCTTATGGTGAAAATGCATGCAGCAGTGAGCCTTGCAGCTTCTCTGAGAATGGGCTGAGTATGTCCTGTCTTCTCTCCGTGTTTGTTTATCCAAAGACTTGGTTTTATCAGAATGAAGGGGGAAAATTGTCAGTCCAGAGTACGTTACTGAAGAGAGGGAATGTAATACAAAACTCTAGGAAGCTCCAGTGATGTGCTCTGTAGGGAGTTGTGCTGCTAACCAAGGTTATGCTGCTCCGATGGTTCGAATCCACCAGCAGCCAAGTGAGAAAGATGAGCAGTCTCTTCCTGTGAAGGGTCAGCTGTGAGTTGAGTTGAATGACTGATGAAAACTTGATGTTTTTTTAGGTTTAGTTACATAAACTTTTACAGTTTATTTTTCTCAGTCATCCTAGTTGGGTTTTTCTCAGGAATAGCAGGTGAGGATTTTAAAAGTTGCATCTGAAAATAGCAACAGTTCATTTCGAGAAGTTTGCATAACTTAATAACAGGTCTCCTTCACTAGACTGTTACAGTCTTGTCTTTGATCATTTGAATTGTTTAAAGAGATTAAACTAACAATCTTTCTCTTAACTTCTCCCCAGCACCTGGCAGTGCCGAATTGCCTGGAGCATCATCTTTGAGTGACATTCCAAATGGCCAGTGGATGACCCAGTCGTTTACAGACCAGATTCCTTCCTATAATAATCCCTGTGGGACTCAAGCACAGGAAGAAGGAGACCATGCTTAGAATGGTGTTTTTGGGTGCTGCTTAAATGCTGCAGTTTTATTGCAGTGGTCAAGAAGCGGACCTCAGTTCGCTAATGGAAGCATTTTATTAGTATCCTACTCCAGTAGCATAATCATAGTACAGGACAGTGTGTGATAGTATCAACTGTATGAGCTAGGTAGTTTGGACGGAAGAAGTAGAGTTTTCTGTGTATGAGTTTTTGTATTTGAATTAACCATCATTCCAGTTTTTTATGAACTATGTTTCGTTTATGAAGAAAATTATTTTACAAGTCACTTTTAATCTTGTAATATTTAAATGCAGCAGTCAAAATATTTATAGTTGATTTTTAACTTACTGTGTGTAAACCTAGTTACACCGTTGTCCTTTTTAGGCCTAAGAATGATACCCTGATAAGAATTATCACTAGTGAAGCGGCATAGATGTCGGTTTCCATCTATGAAGCTGACCTATGGTGGAACCTAGCTTGGTGGTTTTTAGAGGAATTGATAGTTTCCCTGAGTCTTGTTCACACTCAGACCTCTTTACCAGTGGTGAGTGTTTGTGAGAGTTGCTCACTAGGAGAAGCATAGAATGTGATCTCGCAGCAGCAAAGCTCAACCTGCATTGTCTAGCAGGGCACCAAGCCTCATCCGTGGCCCCATCTCTGTCTATCTTCTATATAGGCAGAAATGATTCTGTTGAGGTGCTAATTCCAGCAGTTGTTGTTGCTGTTATGTGCCATCAGGTCGCCTGCCACTCATAGCAACCCTATGTACAATATCTCTGAAGCCTGATGCCCTGTCTTGAGCCAGTCTCGCTGACTCCACACACCTACCCCCATTGCCCTAATTTCTGTATCCATCTCATCTGGGGTCGTCTTCTCCTGCACTGTCCTTCCACCCTTGTGGGCATGATGTCCTTCTCCAAGGACTGGTCCCTCCTGGCCACATGCCCAAAGTATGTCAGATGGAACTTGAAAATCCTAATCTCCAAGGAAAAACTTGATTTCGCTCTCTCCAAGACAGACCTCTTTGTTTTCTTGGCAGTCCATGGTATGTTCAAGACTCAAAGCAGTAGACCTTTTAAATTTTGTCACTTCATGTATGTTTTACTGGAAAGACCAAAGAGAAGGAGCTGAACCTACCACTTGTTCTGCTTTCTTCCCTCTTTGGTTTTGTGAACATGACATGGGCAGCAGTGAGAAATGAACTTTAAGGCTGATCGAAAAGTTGCTGGGGGTGTCTGATAATATTATTTAAACTGGTGCTTTATGTATGTGAAATGTACATAAATAATAAGAATTTCTTACTATGTAAATCTGATAAACTAGTAATTTAAAAATCATTTCTTTCCATCCTTGCTGTGTGTTACTGTGGACAAAGTGAACCTCACAGAAAGGTTAGTGTGAATTATGGCCCTTTGTGATGTTCCAGTGCATATCATCATGGTGCTACGTATAGTCCAGAACTACCACGTCTGGTGGGAATTAAACGAGGTGTTCAGGTGCCGTTTACATCTACTCCGGATCAGTCTGAATATTCTGATTTCAGATCTACCCAGGGAGCATGCTGTTTTTAAATAGGAAGTATGCATGAGAGTCCTCCCTGACACCCCAGGAAATTAGAAGGCCTTTTTCTTCTCTTTATAATAAGAGAAACAAATTCTTGTTGTGACTCTAAACATGCTTCTTTATCTGTGGCTATGATAGAACTTTTTTCCTGAAGTCTAGGTCAAGCTGTGTAAGTCATTCATGTCACTGAAATGCTGTACTGTACTGCTGTTTACATGAACACTTTGTGCAGGTGCTTGGAAGTGCCTTGCATCAGGGATTAGGAGCAATTGAATTATTTTTTCATGGGACTATGAAAAGCATGTAACTATGTTTTGCTTTGGTATATAATTTGTTGTTTTACAATAGGGTGGTTATTTTTTGGTTTTGTTTTTTTTTTGGAGTGGAGAAAATACCCTTTAAATTATGATCAATACTCACTAGGGAATGGTTTTAGAAATTTTCAAAGGATAAAATGATGATTTTTCCTTAAACAATACAGATAAGTAGTAAATGTTAACTTATCATGTATATGACAGTAAAAAGTTTTTTCATTAAATAACATTGAAAAGGTTTTTAAATTAAATTTGACGTGATGGTTTTTACAATAAAAGATGTTAAGAAGGGTTATCTTTAAATTGCCATCTTCTTTTCCCCTTGAACCTGAGATTACCTTCTGTTCACATGTATGATATAATGAAAATAAGAGAAATATGAAAATAAGACCTGTCCATATTTGAGTTTTCAGACACTGGTTTTTAAAACATAATAGGTATACAAAAAAATGATACTGGCACCTGTTTAAAAAAATTAAAATCAAGCATTCACTGTTAGTGAGTCCATTCCATGTTGGAGCCACACTATAGGACAAAGTAGAAATGCTCCATAGGGATGCCAGGAATGCCTTGTCTTTTCCTGGAAGGCAGCTGATTCAGTTAGCAGCTCAATCCTTAATTCACTGTGCTACTGGACCCAACCAAAACAACAAAACACCCAAAAACAATTTAGACATATTTCATTAAAAGTACATGTACACACATATTGTTGTTAGGTGCCATTTAGCTGAATATGACTCATGGAGACCCTATAAACAATAGATCTAAACCTATCCTATCCTGTAACATCATCTCTGATACACCCAAGCCCATTGCTGCAGTCTCTGTGTTACTCCTATCTTGTTGAGGGTCTTCTTTTTTTGCTGACCCTCCACCTTTCCAAACATGATGTCCCTCTCCAAGGAGTAACCACCTGTAGGAACAAGCCCAAAGTATATGAGATGAAGCTTTGTCATCCTTGCCTCGAAGCATTCTGATGAACTTTCTTCAAGATGCATCTGTTCTTCGGGAGTCCATGGGCTATTTAGTATTCTTCTCCAACACCACAGGTCAAAGGCATCAGTTCTGTCATTCTTATTCGTTGTCCAGCTCTTAGATGGACAGCAAGCAACTGAGAAGACCACGGCCCAGATCAGGCACACTTTAGTCTCTAGACTGACACTGTTGGGCTTTATCACTCTGGAGAGGTCCCTGGCAGCAGATTTTTCCAGTGCAACTCATCATTTGAGTTCCTGACTGTTGGGGTCAAGGGTGTTGATGATTGTGGCTCTGAGCAAGACGAAATTGTTAGCAACTTCTGTCTTTTCTCCATCTATAAGGAAGCTGCCTATTGGCCTGGTGGTGAAAACTTGCTTTCTTGATGTTGAGATGCAAACACTAAAAGTCATCAGTTTTGGTGAGCTAGGTTGTGTCATAATGCAGGTGATTGTTATGTCTTCCTTCAATGTTGATGCCACATTATTCTTCTTAAGGTCCAGCTGCTCAAATGATTTCTTCGGCATATATATTGAAAATGTATGGAGACACACTCCACTCTTGATTTTGAACCATGCAGCTCTTCTTTGCTCTTGTTTGGATAACTTCTGGATCTAGGTATAAGTTTTGCAAGGACCCAGGTATTATGGTATTCCCATTCTTCTCAGTGTTAGCTACAATTTGTTGTGATCCGCAAAGGCAAATGCCATTGCATAGCTGATAAAACACAAATAAATAGACATCCTCTGACACTCTGTTTTTAGCCAAGATCCATCTGACATCAGTGATATCCCTAGGGTTACAGCCTCTTCTAAGTCCAGCTTGTATTTCTGGCAGTTCTCTGTCAATGGACTGTTCTAGTAGTTTCTGAATAATCTTCAGCACCATTTGCTTGCATATGATATTAAGTGATATTCAGTAATTTCCACAGTCTGTTGGATCACCATTTTGGAGATAAAGATCTCTTTGAATCACTTGGCGAGAAAGTTGTCCTCCAGATTTCTTGGCACAAGCTGGTGAGCCAAAGCTGCATCTGCTTATTGGAATAATGTCAGTCGGTATCACTTCAATCCTGGAACCTTGTTTTTCCCCAATTCCTTCAGATCAGCTTTGACTTCTTTTATTGCCATTGGTTCTTGATGATATGCTGTTTTCTTGAAATGGTTCTGTGTCGGCCAGTTCTTTTGTTATGATGACTTATGTTTTGATGCTTCCTGGCTCATTCAAGAGTTTGCCCATAAGGAATATATGATCAGGCATTATTTGTATGACAACAGTCCAGAAGAAGAAGTATATTATATGGCACAGTGGACTGGGGAGGGTGGAGGGAGGAAATTATGCAACGATGAATAAATGTGTGTGTGCACGTGTGCATGTTTCTCTACTAATTTACTTACCAAACTCAAATATAAATTTGAACAAATTCTTTAATTTCTCTAACCCCCACCATCAAATTGTACAACCCAGTGATTAAGCCCCTGCCCCCGGCACATCCACATCCCTCTGCTTCCAGCCTCTCCTACCCTTCCTGGATCCTTATACTCATTCTGTTGATGTTGTTGTTAAATGCCATCAAGTCGTAGGTGACTCATAGCGACCCTATGAACAAAAGTCCTCAACACTTGTATGACTTTCATCCTTTCTCCAGGTTCATAGGGTTTCCGGAGGCAACTTACCGAAGTGGATGCCACTCCTGCTTCAAAGCTTGTTATAATCAGGGAACTCCACCAAACACTGTCCGCCATGGGTAACCATTAACACATTTGGCACATCAGTATTACAGTGTTCAGCTTCACAGCAACCACAAGTTACCTCTGTACGGCAAGTGGATACACCAGGGCTATACAACCTAGGAGAATGTTTGAACCAAAACAATGAAAAACAGGCCTGAGGACTGCAGGCCCGAGGGCCCTAAAGTATTTTACCATTCCAGCATGCCCAAATGCTGGCGACCTCTGGGCCAGAGACCCCCAGTTCATCTGGCAAGTCCGCTCTGCCAACACCCACTTGTGACAAAAAGAAAGCCACAAGCACCTGAGCATTCCATCATGGCCTCTCTTCCAGAAGCCAGAGGCTGCCTACAGCTGACAGACTACAATAGGGTTTTATACAATATTTATCCTTGTGGGACCGAGTTAGTTCACTCAGCAAAATGCTCTGTAGTCCCTCCATAGTTAGGTTGTAATTTACAAAATTATTGCTCCTGTGTGCTGCATGGTTTTCCATAGTGTGAATAGACCATAATCTCTCAATCCATTCATTTGTGGTTGGACATTTGGGCTGTTTCCATGTTCTTGTGATGGTGAATAATGCTGCTATGAACATTGGTGTACAAATCTCATTTTGTGCCCCAGTTATTCTCAGGGTATATTCCAAGTAGTGGAATAGTTGGGTTTGAACTGGGGATGTAGGGAGGAAAGTGTGTATCAATGAGTAAAATAAAATCCAACTTTAAACTATCATTAAAATCACAATGTTGTTAAGTACTGTCGAGTCACCTGTAATTCATAGCTCCCTATATATGACAGCTCTGAAGTCTGCCCTGTCCTGAGCCTGTCTCACTGACTCTAAAACACCTACTCCCCCCCCCCCATTGCCCTAGTTACTGTATCAATCCATCTCATCTAGGGTCTTCCTCTCCTGCGCTGTCTGTGCACCCTTCCGAGCATGATGTCCTTCTTCAAGGACTGGTCCCTCCTGGCCGTATGCCCAAAGTGTGTGAGACAGAGCTTCAAAATCCTAGCCTCCAGGAGAAACTTGGTTTCACCCTTCCTAAGACAGACCTATTTGTTTTCTTGATGGTCCATAGTATGTTCAAGAATTTTCTCCAGCACCATAGCTCAAAGGCATCAATTCTTCTGTCACCTTGGTCATTGTCCAGCTCTCTGATGCACAGCAAGTAATTGTGAAGACCATGGCCTGGATCAGGTGCACCTTAGTTTCTAGACTGACATCATTGCTTCTCAGTACTCCGGAAAGGTCCCTGACATATTTTGCCCATAGCATCTTTCAGTATTGTCATTCAAGGCTTGAATTTGTTCATCAGTTTCTTCAGCTTGAGAAATGCTTAAGGAGTTCTTCCCTTTTGATTTTCTGACTCCAACTCTTGGTACATTTTATTAAAATGTTTTGTCTTCCTGAACTGCCCGTTAACATCTTCTGTTCAGCTCTTTAACTTCCTGATTTCTTCTCCAGTGTTCTGGTGTGATATTCAGAGTCTCGTCTGTCCTGCATTTTGGTATTGTCTTCCTCCTCTGTCTTTCTAATGACCTCTTGCTTTCTTCATGGATGATATTCTTGGTATCTTCCCACTGTTCGTCTGGCCTTCACTCAGTGCCTCAAGCCTGTTCTTGAGATGGTTTTTAAATCCAGATAGGATAGAGGCCCGGTCTTTTTTTTATTCTTGTGGATTTGTTTTCATTTTCTTTAGCTTGCCTTTAAACTTGGACATGAGTAGTTGATGATCTGTCCCACAGTCAGCACCTGGCATGCCTTTGACTGCTGATACTGAGCTTCTAAAGCGATTCTTCAGATGTTTCATCCCAAATACCTTTTGTAAAAAACACAGAGTGACTATACACATGGCCCTCATCTGATGGACTACATAGGAATTGATTACATCTGTGAAAGAATATCACTAGATGCTTTGGATTGTGCAAAAAAAACAACAAACCCCACCACAAAACACAACAACAACCCCGCCAACCTGCCCTTAAGGTTAAACAAACTACTAAAATCTAGGTGGGATGATTTCTGTCCAACAACATTTTCGCTCATATAATCTTGATTTCCATGTTTGTAGGTGCTGTCAAGTCCGGCTTCTCGCAAGCTGAAATCACCTCACCATCTCCAGTGCTTAGGCCCATTGCTGCAGTCTCTGTGTCAGGCCATCTCACTGAGGGTCTGTCTGCCCCTTCTGTGCCAACCTTTACTTTTCCAGACATTATGGTCTGCTTCAGGGATTGGCCTCTCCTGACAACATACCCAGAGTATGTGAGAGGAAGTCTCACCATCCTTGCCTCATAAACACCACCAACAACAACTTTTATTTAGGTAAAGAAATCAATGCCTATTATATGGCCAAAGGCATCATTTAAACATAAGAGTGGCTGAGAAAGATGAGATAAATTATGTATACTGCATTGAAACAGATGAGAGAGAGAACTGTTTTAAAAGGTACATATGATTAGGTATTATTGCCATGACATGAGTCCAAAAGGAAGGCTACATAGTGGAGTGGACTTAGGGAGAGGGATTGTATAACAATAAAAGAATTTTACTCTTAGAAGAACGAACTAGAGGGGAGGGGTGGGCAGGGGGAAAAGTGCAACAGTGAGTGAATGGAAATAAAGAATCTGTAAATTTTCATTAAAATTAATAATAAGAAAAAAAATATTTTAAAAAGTTAGTCTTGATGTTTTTTGTTTTTCAATTTGATGTGTTTTGTTTTTCAATTTGCTAGCGCCCACCAAGTGCTGTTCATAAAGAATCGGGTCTTAGGAGGCACAGATAGAAAACTGCACGTTTTTATACAGGAAATACTTCAAATGCTCACGTTACATCATTCACTGTTCCCAAATCACTTGTGTCCATTGGTCATTCCACCAGTATTTGACAGAAGTTCTTGTTTCTCCACAGTTTCTCTCTAGTAGGTAAAAAAGGTAATTTTTTCCCTAGGGGTTCATTTTTTTAAAATTTGTACACAACAATGTTTTCTTGCTCTCTTGTACAAATCATATTTATCATATTTCTCATCAATGTTACAAGAGGCCCGATGGTCAAGTCCACGTTTTTATTCAGGAAACATTAAACATGTCGAGTCGCCTCATCTCTCCTGGTGGTGGAGTCTGAATATTCCTGCGGGGTCGGGCACAAACCAGCTCTCCCATAAGTCATTGTGAACACTCGGGAAATCCCACGGCTTATGTCTCCCGTTCCAGTGGAGTAATTTAGCTTCCTGCAGAAAGTGCTCCGAATATCTGGCATCGGGATTCCAGCCTTTGAACATGTTTGGAGGGAAAGAAAAAGCTACTTAGAGAATAAAAATTTTATATTAAAAATAGAATACGACTTCATGGCAAAATAAATATCAAAAGAATATGCAATTAAGTATTCTAGACACCCCCAAGTCACCAAAACAACCATTCTAAACAGGTTTTTCCTTAATCTTCCCAGTAATGTTCTACCTCTGTGTACGTATGTGCGTGTGTGGGTAGGAGCCCTTGCGGTGTAGTCAGTAGCAGCTGTGCTGTTATCCCAAAGATAAGCATCTCTGACAGTTTGAATCCACCAGCTGCTCCAAGGGAAGCCGCCCCAAGATACGGAGAGTCGCCTCCCATTACAGTTTACAACCTCAGAACCTCCATGGAGAGTTGCTGTGGAGCGGGAACCAGCACACACATGAACGTGGACTTGTGTGTGTTTGCATGTATACACATTACAGACCTTCAGGTTGGAACCAACTCTTAGCTGACACTCCAGCAGGTTTTCAGAGGCAGGAGTCACCTGGGAAGAGACTGCCCATCTTTCTCCTTCAGGTGGATTCAAACCACATGCTTTTGGGTTGGCAGCGTAACTCCTTAACCACTAAGCCACCATAGCTGTACTGTGTGTATACAGTATAGCTTTATTCCCTTAAAGAGAAGACAAAATAGCATAGAGATTACCATGGAGCTCTGGCGCTACAGTCTACAGGGAGTTCCCAAAGGTCATACCTCTGATAGTTCAAATCCAGCAGTTCCAGGAAAGAAAAGTGGGAAATCTCCTCCCATACAATTACAGCCTTGGAAACCCACTGGAAGGTCAGCTGTGAGTCGACAGCACTGAATTTTCAGAGTTTTACTCTCTTGGGAACTTTACTTTTTTTTCTTTTGTCTTTTTGTGTACCCTCGAGTCGGATCCTACTGGCACAGGAGAAGACTGTCCCTCCTCCAGCAGAGCATCTGGTGGATTCAAACTGCCTGCCTTCAGGATTGCAGCACAGCTTCTTGCCACTAGGCCTCCAGAGCTCCCTTAGGAACTTTGAATAGCAGCACATGTTGCTGTTGTGATGTGCTGTTGAGTCACCTGTGCCTCATAGCGACCTGACATAAAGCAGCTCCAAAGCCTGCCCTGCCCTGAACCAGTCTCACAGATTCCCTGTCAATTTACGGAATTGTTTTGTTTATTTACAGAATTGTTTTTAATGACTACATAGAATGGATATGAGAGTTTACTTTTTATGGGCACGTGAATGATAAGAGGGTGGTGAAGAGCAAGGTTCAGATCGGTTCACAGGACTGCTCTAAGTTGTCATCAACTAGATGGCACCTAACAACAGCCACCACAATGGGCATTTTGATGGGTTTTTCTTTATAAATATTAATATACTACACAATGAACACTCTCATGTTTTGTGCATGTCTATATCAGTATAAATCTTACAGGTGGAATTGGTGGTTGACACGTGTGCCTTTAAAAAAATTGTGATATTTTTGTTGTTAGGTGTCCTCGAGTTGAGTACAACCCATAGTGACCCTGTGAACAAAAGACCTGCACCCTGTCCTCTCCTGTGCCATCCTCACGCTTCCTGACAGACCAGAGCCCACTGCAGCAGTCACTGTGTCAATCCACGTGGTTCAGGGTCTTCCTCTCCTTTGCCAACCCTCCACTTTCCAAGCATGATGTCCCTCTCCAAGGAATAGCCTCTCCTAGCAACATGCCCGAAGTACGTGAGACAAAGCCTCATCATCTTTGACTCCAAAGTGCACTCTGGCTGCACCTTCTCCAAGATATATTTGTTTCTTCTTTTGGCCGTCCATGGGCTATTCAGTACTCTTCTCCAACACCACAGTTCAAAGGCCTCAATTGTTATTCCGGGGAGCTCTTGTAGCTTAAAAATTGTGATAGATACTGCTAAATTGTCCTCAAAGAAGTTATATGATTTATTCTCTCACCAGTTTATAGGAGTTCTTGTTTCTTGGATCTTACTTTGGTAATATTTTCTTCTCATTTTTACCATATGAAACATAAGATTAAGTCTACTTTTTTACCAGCTAAACCCCATTTGAGTATTAGTCCCATCATAAGTAATCTCTAAGAAAGTATGCCTTTGCTCAGAATATTTTTAGAATATTCTAAGGACTAAGGTGTGCTTGATCCAGGCCATGGTCTTTGCAATTACTTGCTATGCATCAGAAAGCTGGACAATGATTAGGGAGATAAGAAGAGAATTGATGCCTTTGAGCTGTGGTGCTGGAGAAGAGTATTGAATATTCCATGGACTGCTAGGAAAACTAATAGGGTCGTCCTAGAGAGGGTGAGACCAGGCTGCTGCTCCTTGGAGGCAAGGATTCTGAGGCTTCCTCTGACATACTTTGGGCTTGTTGCAAGGAGAGACCAGTCCTTGCAAGGGGAGATCATAGTTGGGAGTGTGGAAGGACAGTGCAAGACAGGAAGACCCTGGATGAGATGGATTGACTAAGTGACTGGGGCAATGGGGGTAAGTGTGTCAGAGACAATAAGGTTGGCACAGGATAGAGCAGGATTCAGGGCTGTTAGTATATAATGTGAGTCGCTATGAGTTGCAAGGGACTTGGCAGCACATAACAACAAAAACTATATTAAGATTTTATGACTGTAAAGTTTTTCTAATGTCCCCTAGTGTTAAAAGTTTCTTCTCTGAAAGAAAATGGTGGTTGTTGTTGTTGTTGTGTGCTGTCGAGTCGCTTGTGACTCATAGCGACCCTATGTACAACAGCCCTAAACTCTGTCCAATTTTTTAAACAACTGAAAGTCTACTGGTTAAAAATAGAGTGACTAGTCAAGGTCATGTGATTCTGGTTTAATATGTAGTACTTTTTTTTAAGCACAAAAACTGGTTACACAGTTCATAAAGTATTTATGCAAACAGAGACTAGTGATTTCAAGCTATTATTAGCATAACTGGAATGATTACCAACCTTGAAAGCTGTGTGTTAATGTGTTTGGATTGCTAATGAAAGTTTGGTGGTTTGACTCTATCAAAACATTGCAGGAGAAAGCTGGCCTGTCTCCTCTTGTAAAGAACTGAAGCCTCAGAAATCAGATAGAGGGTTGCTATGAAACAGAATTGATCTGATGGTAGTAGGTTTGGTCGGGTTTTTGTTTTCAAAGACTACATGTAAGGAAATGCCCCTTTGTCAAGAGTCACAGGAAGGTGAAAAATCTCTACTAAGCAGGCCGTCTGCATTTCTCAGCTGATGGCTCTAGAGGGGCTTGAAATTTTGAGGAAAACATTTTAGCTAAATATATTCCAGGGTGTTCTGGTGGCTTAGTGGTAATGAGTTGTACTCCCAACCCAAAGGATTATGGTTTTAAACCACCAGATACCTGGTTCATGGGAAAGACGGGCTGTCTCCTCCTGTGTGGTTTAGTGCCTCTGCAGACATGCTTAGAGGGTCAAAGATGAGTCAGTTCCATTCCAACAAATGTATATGAAAGTTGGACAATTAATAAGAAAGACTGAAGAACTGATGCCTTTGAAATGTAGCATTAGAGAAGAGTATTGAATGGACTGTCAAAAGAACAAGCAAATCTGTCTCAGACGGAATCCAAACAGGGAGTTCTTTGGAGGCAAGGATGATGAAACTTTGTGTGACATTCTCTAAGCATGTTGTCTGAAGGTGCCAGTACTTGTAAAAAGACTTCATGCTTAGAAAAGTCAGAGAAAGAGAAGATTGCTATGGAGATAGATTGACACAGTGATTACACCAATAGGAGACTGTGGGGATGGTACAGGATAGGTAGGGCAAGCTTTCAGTCTATTGTTCATCGGGTCACAATGAGTCAGAATCTGCTGATGGCACTTGAGCAACTAAATTAGGCAGTGTTTCAATTCTGCTGTACAAAAGATGGGTACGAGACAGAGCTAAGTAAGGGTACCTAAGAGCAAAACAATAGTCCAGACCACCCTGAGGGGCTTGCATAAAGTATATGCACACTGTTACATTATCTACTGTACCGTCAGTCAGAACTGACTCATAGCTAATCCTCCAGTCGGTTTTCAGGGGCAGTAAATTGCATGGGAGGAGATCACTTATTTTCTCCCTGTGGAGCAGCTGGTGGATTCAAACCACATAAGGTCGGGTTTGCAACACAGCTCCTTACCACTAGGCCACCAGAGCTCCCTATACACACATGACCCTTTTTTTAAATCCTCTTCTTTTAAAAAAAATTATTATTTTGTGTGTGTACTGTCAAATCAGATCTGACTGGTACAGGAGGAAATTGTTCCTCCTTCTCCAGCACAGCATCTCGTGAATTTGAATCGTGCACCTCTGGGATTGATGACCTTTTTGAAATGGAAACACTTCTAAATTTTTCGCATGTTTTGGGCATGTTGTCAGGATGGGCCAATTCTTGGACAAGGGGACTATGCTTGGAAAGGTGAGGGTTAAGGAAAGAAAGGAAGACCTTCACTGAAACTCATTGACACAGTGACTGAAGACCTTCACTGAAACTCATTGACACAGTGACTGTATCAGTGGACTTAAAAACAGTGGAGATTGTGAGGATGGGGCCTGATCAGGGAAGATTTCTATTTGTTTGTATATAAAGTGAGTTGTAGTCAACTCAATGGCACCTAATAACAACAAATGGGTCTGGCCCAGTGGTTTTGGATGAGGGTTTACAGCTGTAATCAATGTAAATTTATATTCTATGCCAGACTCTATTCCAAGTGATTTACATGTATTAAGGAATTTATTCCTTATAAGAATTTCACAAGATTCCAGTCCCAATTAAACTCAGAGAATTTGAGTAGCCTGCCCAAGGGCACAGGTGACCACAGGATTGGATTCCAGCATGAACTCTCTAGTGGATAGTGACTCAAACAGAATATACAATCCAGGAACAACTGCTTTTTAAAAGAGACGTTTTAATGCCAGCTACTTCTGTCCATGATAAATCACTCTGTATCTTTGATTGTGTCCCACTATTAGGCTATTGCAAGAGGAAGCCAAGGCAAGTGACAACATCTTCATGTAAAAGTTCTTTCATAACAATAGCTGACGTTTCATGAGCACAGCCCATATACTATTGCTTTCCATGAATTCTTAGACACCTGCCGTTAGGGTAAGCACCAGCACCAGCCCCCTGTGAAGGCTGTGAACACTACAAGGTCAAATTACCAGGTGCATTTGAATTGAGGAACCTGGTGCTGAGGAGGACTCTGCCCTCATCACGCTGCTCACCGGGGCTAGAAAAACGTCCATTTGCATGTCCCTTTGTACTCACCCAGGTGCCTTATGTGCCACAAGGGGTTGATTGAGGAATACTTCCCGTGAAACACAATCAGCATGGGGGACGTGGCCACGCCTCCACCCAGGGAGCTGCTGTAGAGGTTTTCCCTGAGAAACGGAACGGAAAGGTGACAGATGGCATGGGACTTCCAGACCCTCGACAGAAACAGGGCCTAATGCTTGAAAATCACCTGACATACCATTTGACGCTATGGCCTTTCCCCCTTGTTTCTTCTTCGAAAAATGCCAGACCTGCACGAGGGCAGGAACCACACCCTGAACGCCCCTCTCCCATTTAGATTCAGAGTGAGTTACTTACTGCTCTGTTCTGCCATTTTAAAATGCAGGCAAACGTAAAAGAGCAAATTCTGGTCCTACATTACTATTACATTAGAACAATTTCATTCATGAATTTATGGTTATAATGGTCTTTTGGGAGCTCTGGTGGCCTGATGGCAACAAGCTGTGCTGCAATCCCAAAGGCATGCAGTTTGAGGCCACCAGCTACTCTGTGGGAGAAGGATGGGCAGTCTCTTCCTGTGAGATTAACTACCTCTGAAAACCCGTGGGAGGGTCAGCTATGGGTTGGTTCCAACTCCACTGTACAGAACACGAACACACACACACACACACACACACACACACACACACACACACAATGTTCTTTTAAAACTCAGATGAAAGATTGACCAGAAATATAGTAATAATAGTGTCTGTGCTGGAGTTCTTACTTTCTTGATTTAAAAACATCTATAATTAGAAATCGGGGAAAAAATCAGCTCTCCAAAATGGAGCTGACTTTACAACATAATCCTTAAATCTATGTAAGAAGGAGAAACTTGACTAAGATCATTGAAGGCTTATGGTAGGATTCTGGAAAAAGATGGAAAATCACATATGGAACTCTATGAGGGATATGCTTATCTGAGACTCTTTATTCTGCAGGCTCTCTGTGCCTTAGATTCACATTATCTGAGACTGGAATTTTATCTGCTGCTATTTCATCCCCCTCGATGCTGCCTGAATAAGAAAATCTGGCCTAAGATGTTGGTGAAATAATATTCTGACTTCTGAACTATGCATAGAAAATTTACTCGCGTAATCGTGTGATCTGGCATGTGGGGAAAGGCTGAGGAAGGGCACACGTACTCCACGTTTTTCTGCATCCACTTCTCCAGCTGTTTGGTGATTCGCTGGTGCTTCCACTCTGTCATGTTGGCGACAATCACGCCAGGATTGAAAGAGCAGGTGCTGGGGCTGATACCGAGGTCTTTTATGGCCTTCTTCCGGTAATCCAGATAGCCCATGTATGTGTTCTAGGGAGGAACAGGAGACGCAAGCTTTTGACCAACGTACATTTTATAAACGTTTCTAGAAAATGATCCTCTTCTGGAAGGTGCTGTGTAGCATCTTTCTGTTTTTCTCCTGTGTCACTGACCACTTCTTATGCCTTTTGCTGGTTCTCCTCATTGCCCAACCCTGGATACTCATTGTCCCAGTCTCAGGGCCAGCACCATCTCTAGCGCTAACATCCTAGGTGGCCTGTCCACTGTTGTTTCTAAATACCTTCCATGTTGACACCTCTGGACCTCCACCTCCTGCTGCATTTGCCTTTAGTCCACATCCCAAAACTAATCCTAACTCTAACCATAAGCCTTCCCTACAATATGTCCACATGTTAGTGCCAATTCTATCCATCTACTTACTTATAAAAAACCCTCAAGGCTATCCTAGACTCCTCTTTCTCACTCCTGAGACAAATCAGCCAGAAACTCTATTGACATTATTCTCTAAACATACACAGCAGCTAACCACTTCTCACTCCTCCACTACTCCTTCCTGGTCTGGGGCATCATTACTTCACGGGATTTCGGCAAGATACTTCCGAGTAGTGTTCCTGCCTCCACTCATGTCCACCCATCCAGTCTGCATCACTCCTCTGCTCAAAGCCCCCACTAGTCTCCCAGTTCTTTTAGGGTCAAAGCCAATGTTGCTAAAATAGCTGACCCTGCTCTACCTACCCCATCTGGTCCCCATTACCTCTCCACCCCTGCCCATACTGACTTTCTTGTGATTTAAACATACTAGCTAAACCTACCTTAACACTTGTTACTATCGCTGGCTGGAATCCTTTCCCCTAAATATCTATATAAAGTGGTTCCCTCAGTGTCATCAACTCAGTGGTGAGTTCCCCAAGTACCCTTTCTAAATCACAGCATCCTACCTCTATCTTGAGTCTCTGTCAAATACTTATTTCTTTACTATCTGTCTCTACCCACTAGCACATAGCTACACAAAGGCAAAACTTTTAGTGTGAGCAATGGCATTATCAATACATAGCACTTAGCATGCCCTCAGTAAGTACTTTTTAAATAAACGGAATATGAAGAGGGACATATTGTTCACATTACCTCCTTAGTGTGATACTCAAATACACACAGGAGTGATGGAAACATCTGGGCACCTACTCTGTGCCAGGCATTGGGCTAAGAATTTATGTGCATTTCCTCACTAATCGCATGTAAGTACTTTATATGTATTCATTTATTTAATCCTCACACGAACTCCACAAGGAAAAGTATTACAGTTGCCTCTATTTGGCAAATGTAAAAACAATTAGTTACATAACCTGCTCAAAGTCACAAAGCTAGTAACTGATGGAGATACGATTTAGGTAATGTTTGTGTCTAGCCCTAGAACTGAGGTCTTAAAAGGAAGCTCTACCTGAAATGTCACATATATGTGCTCGAACTTTAGTTAAAGATAAGCATTCAATTCTTTATAGCACCTTGTATTTGAAAGGCACCCTTCTGGTTCCAGTGTGACATGTAAGTTCAATTTCCTGCATTTCTACTAGGGTAAGGAGATTTTCTTTTTCATTAAAAATAATTGAGTTTAAGTGGCAAGCTCTGGTGGCCTAATGGCAAGAAACTGCACTACAATCCCAGAGGTGAGTGGTTCGAATCCACCAGATGCTCTGCTGAAGAAGGAGGAACAATCTCCTCCTGTACCAGTCAGATCTGATTTGATGGTACACACACAAAAAATAATAAAATAAAATGTAAAGAAATTTTTAAAAATTGAGTTTCATTTATGGAGACCACTTGAAACATTAAGAAACTATATGATTGATTTTTCTGGCATTCTAACATAGCCTGCTTTTAAAAAATAATTTAAAAATCAATTTTCATTAAAATACTTATTATGATTCACATTTCTGATTTAATCATACTTGTAACTAAGGTTATTCTTTTTATCTTTACCCTTGAATAAAATCAACAGTCCCCTCTACCAAAGGGAAGTGGAGAGGGGAGCGAGTGACGACTATCAAACCTCGGAATATAGAACCAAAACTCATCATCTTTTCTAGAAAACAGCATCTCTGCCCTCTGTGTGGTTCTTAGCAACCATTATGACCGCAGCTCTTATTTCTGGAGCACTGGCTTCATGTCACACACTTCTTCATGGCATTGTTTCATCATAAGGAATCCTAGAGTGGCACAACAGTTAAGTGCTGAACTGTTAATCGTTAATCAAAAGGTTGGTAGTTCAACCCACCCCATCCCCCAGCTGTTCCTTGGGAGAAAAAACCTGGCTACGTGCTCCTGTTACGATGACAGCCAAGGCAGTTCTACTTTGTCACATGGGTTGCTGTTGGGATCCCCTTGATGACAGCCAGCAAAATCTCATTGTAGCTCACAAACACTGCAGCCACAGAGATAGTATTGTTGCCATTCTTCAGATAAGGGAAGTAGGGCTTCACAGGGTTAAAGCATTTGTCCCAGAGTGAGTAAGGGTGGAGCTGGAGTTGAAACTCTAAGCCCAGGTCTGTAACCCTGTCTATTCTGTATCCCAGCAGGCCAGACTGGTCCCTGGGGCTCCTGAAGCTTCTATGACAGATAGTCATCTTGAGTTGCAGGGAAGGAACAGAGGAGGGGAGAGCAGCAGAGTGTAGGTAGAATCCCGGAAAGACCATGCCCACCTGTAGGCCCACTAGTCTGGTTATGTCCTGAGCGATGGGCAAATCACAGTCGTCAGAAAACGCTGCAGCGTGGCCCAGCGCCAGGGTGGTGTCATACAGCTCTTGGATATCACCTGAATTGAGAAATGCCAGGAGTTAAAAACACTGTAACATTTGTTATCGCTAAAGCTTGATAGGACTTTAAGAGCTTAAACTGTGCCCGAATTTGCTATTTTAAAGTATTTTTCAGTTGTTTTGTATGCATCTGAAAGCTGGACGACAAAAAAAAAGGAAGACCAAAGGTGAATGGATACCTTTGAATTATAATGCTGGCAAGGGATATGGAATTCACCATGGGCGGCTAAAAGAAGAAATCAGTCTACCTTGGAAGAGGAGCAAGGAGCGTGAAGGCTTATCTCACGCACTTTGGGCATGTTATCAAGAGGGCCAGTCTTTGGAGAAAGACAGCACGCTGGGAAAGGTGAGGGTCAGCGTACGAGAGGGCGGCCCTCAATGAGAAGAACGGGCACAGTGAGAGCAGTAACGTGCTCAGACGTTCTGGGGATACGAGGAGGGGGCAGAAGAGCACAAGGTTCTGCTCTGCTGTTCACAGGGTCACTATGAGTCGTGGACAGCATTACTAACAATAATTTTGTTCTGAGGAAAGTCAGATAGCCTGGCAATTTATTTACTAAAAATAGCTCCTATCAAAGCAACTTGAGGGTAACTTCTGAACTGACATTGGTCTTTATTTCTGTTGCTATGTTGGTACCACACCAATGGAATCTTGTTTTCCCCTGTGAGAGATAGACTGCAACATTGAAGTAGCCAAACTTAGTGAGCGCCTACGGATGTCAACAGTGAGGTTTTCTTCCCCACGTGCTACGGATACAAAGGAAAGCAATGCTGCCATGCCACTCAGGCTGTGACAGAGAATGGTGCCTTGGAAAACCAACTGAACGTCCCAGGAAAGGGGACCCCCCCCATCTGCTGTCAGAATATTCCCAAATATCCAACAACATTATCCTCATGACTTTAATAAGCACTTTAAAAACCACTGAGGTTTTCTAATTTCATTTTGCATCTTTGTAAAAATGAGAAAGACAGTGGCCTAGTGGCAAGAAGCTGCACTGCAATCCCAGATTCTCTGCTGGAGAAGGAGGGACAATCTCCTTCTGTACCAGTCAGACTTTTCAGCCTCTTTTGCCAAGTGTTCTCAGCAACCAGAATATTTACCTTGTACAATGACATCATCGTCCACATAGATGACTTTCTCATGTTGGTGGATGAGCAGAGGAAGATAGAAGCGAACAAAATTCAGCTGTCAAAACAAAAGAAATGGCGTGGAGGTAGAGCTAGCTATCTGGGTCAGTGTTCTTTCTCAAAGGCTTTGACCATGACCTTGGCTCAGCTACAAGTTTGAAGCAGAATCAAATGAACTGCAGAGAGGCCTCACTGAGCTTCTAGGTGCTGGACTGTGGGGCTGAAAACCAGCTCTGCCAGATGAATGACTGCTGGATCCAATCTCCAAACCTCCCACCACCGTGGCTGTTTGTATTCTGTGAGGTGCTGAAGTGGGAGTCAAAGAGACTAGCCAATTTTTGAGGTCACTAATTGCCATGAGTTTTGGTGAGTAAGGAGTTGGTGTTGTCAGCCCCAAAGACTGTTGTCACTAGGTGCCATAGAGTTGGGCACAACCCCATGTTGTAGCGACCCTAGGGACCTATCCCAAAAATGGGTGATGTGACAGTCCACTGGAGAGTCAGCTCTGTTCTAACTTGATGACAATGAGTGAGTGAGTGAGTGAGCCTACTTTAGTTTACATTGAGTAAATTTTGATAGCTGTCTACTACCAGTGAACTCTGGTGGCCCACTGAGTAAGGAGTTGTGCTGCCAACCTAAAGGCCACTGTTGTAAAACGGGACTGACATAGGGGTTGGGAAACATGGGATAAGTTGTGTATACCGCATTGAAACAGATGAGAGAGAGAACTGCTTAAAAGGGATATATGATTCGGTATTATTGCCATAACAGGAGTCCAGAACAAAGGCTATGTAGTGGAGTGGACCTGGGGGGAGGGATTGAATAACAATGAAAGAATTTTTCTTTTACTTTTCAAAGAGAAGAATGAACTGGAGGGGAAGGGTGGGGAGGAAGAAAAGTGCAACAATGAATGAATGGAAATCCAAAGACTCTGTAAATTTTCATGAAAATTAATAATAATAATAATAATAATTCTGGCACTACCATATGACCTACAGATTACATTACTGAGCATTTATCCAAGTAAAAATTCACATGAAAACCTACAACAACAACAACAACTGCTGGATCCAATCTCCAAACCTCCCACCACCGTGGCTGTTTGCATTCTGTGAAGTGCTGAAGTGGGAGTCAAAGAGACTAGCCAATCTTTGAGGCAGACGGTTCAAATGCACCAGCTATTCTCTGGAAGTGAGATAGGCAATCTTTCCCTATGTGATTTATAGCCTCTAAAAACCCACAAGAGGGTCGGCGATGAGTTGGTTCTGGTTCGCTGGCAATGGGTCCGAGGTTTTGGGTTTTTGTTGAGGTTTTTCTGAGTCGCCAACAGCAGCCTTAAACAGGTATTCATGCACACCTGTGCACCTGCTTGTCATCCTAATATCAGACGCAACACATCAGCTCCTCAAACTAGAGAAAGGTCAGGGAAATAGGATCTGGGGGCAGGGGTAGTTTTTATTCATAACAACACCATTTCATCCTAAGTTCCAATTCAGCTCCCGTTCTGACAGGAAACATCTAGAACTGGGAAAATGCCACTACATCAGACAGGAGGCCTACTAGCCTCTCAAGGTTCAAGGACGGATTAGAGTGGAGTTTATGTAGAAGGTGGCTGCATTATTTTGTAAACACTGTCATATCATCAAAAACACAGATCTCTTTGCAGCAGAGGGAGGGTCCCTTTTGTAAACACTCTTGCAATAAAATACTTTGTTTCCTTCTAAGCTAGGATAAAGTTGGTGTCTACAGATACTACTATCTTATTCAACCCTTGAAAGCATATCTAACTACTGTTTCCCTTTAGCTGCTGGATTACTCGGAGCTAAGGTTTAATGTACACAGAATACACATCAACAGCCTATGTGTTTGGAATATTTTTCCCCCCTTACTACTATCTACCCCCGGGATATATTCACATGCTTACTGAGCTTTAAATGCTTCTTTTCCTCTGTAATAACTTCACTATGTTTATGTAAATCACCCTAGATCGTTGCTGAAGCAGATGGTTTATAAATGATAAACAAGCAGAGTTTAGTGGAGCTACAACACTGTGAGCCTTGAAGAACAGCCCATCTAAAATTATATATACTGCATTGAAACAGATGAGGGAGAGCACTGTTTAAAAGGGATATATGATTAGGTATTATTGTCATGACAGGAGTCCAGAATGAAGGCTGCATAGTGGAGTGGACCTGGGGGAGGGACTGCGTAACAGTGAAAAAAATTTTTCTTTTACTTTTCAAAGAGAAGAGCCAACTGGGGAGTGGGGGAGGCTGGGCAGGGACAAAAGTGCAACAATTAATGAATGGAAATCCAAAGTCTCTGTAAATTTTCATTAAAATTGAGGAAAAAAAATAATATCCCATCTACATCCCAGTAGAAGGTGCCCCCTCCGGTCTTTCATGACCATTTCCCATGAAACAAGGGTCTCACCAAGGGCTCCCCCCAGCGGGGACATAACTCCTACTCACAGGCTGGAGCAATTCGGGCCTTGAGGAATCGGGTCTGATCTTCCCTTTGAGGACCATGGGGTTGAATTCCACAATTTTAAAGTTGATTTCTCTCAGTTTTGAATGTTCAATCCATTTTCTAAAAAGACAAAACAAACAATCCCTTTGCCTCAGGGCCGACCTGTTGCCTCCCTGTTATCAGTTCAGCATCACAACAACATGCAAACCTCTCCTGACAGGTGATGGTTTATTCATGAGGTGCAGCAGTCAAGAAGGGAACCAACCAAGTTCCTGCCCGGAAGGCAAGAATTTCACTCCCAGACCCCTAACTCTTCATGCCGACTCCTTACAGAGTTAAAAATACAATGTGTGAAATCTTAGCAGAGTCTAGCCTATCAATCCTCGATTTTTATTTCTCCATCTGGTCTGGCTTTCAATCTTTTCTTTTCATTCTTCTTCCCCCCTCCCTTTTTCCATTCACATAACTCTTTCAGCAAAGGAAATTAAGCTAAACAGTAATAACCAAATATCTTCCAGTTCTGAATAATCTCCACAGGAAACTAGAAGAACACAAACGTCCCTTCTTTCTTCTAAAAGCAACATCTGTAGGCTTGGCTGTCTGACTTCCATCCCACTGAGAACTCGAGAGCTGAGAGTGCAGGCTTGGAGGGTTAGGGTTAGGGTTAGGGTCAGGAGCAGCGAGCATGATAAGGACAGTGAGAAATGATGCCCAGGAAAACTAGAAAGCAAAGCACAGTCCTCTGACTACCAACAGCCAAGGGCCACTTACAATGTGGACAAATGTCTTTCCTATCTCCTAGCATTGTTACCAATGAATAGCTGAACAACTTATAATTATTAAGAAAACCCAAGAAACAAACAAACACAAAACCTGAAGAGCAAACCAATTGCTGTTGAGTTGATTCTGACTCCTAGTCTCTCCCAAGTGTGTCAGAGTACAGTTGTACTTCACAGGGTTTTGAATAGCTGTTTGGAAATAGAGCTTTAGACCTTTGTTCCATGGTGCTTCTTGGGGAACTCTAACCACCAATTTAGTTGCCAAACGCATGAATATTTGTGCCAGAAAAATACACAAATACTGGCGAGCTCTGGTGGCCTAGTGGCAAGAAGCTGCACTGCAATCTCAGAGGTGCGCAGTTCGAATCCACCAGATAGATGCTCTGCTGGAGAAGGAAGACCAATCTCCTCCTGTACCAGTCAGATCTGATTTGATGGTACACACACACACACACACGCACACACACAAATAATGAAATAAAATAAAAAATTAAAAAATACACAAATACATTCTCCTTTTAAATGATTGAAACAACACAGAAATAACTTAAATTCTCCTCTTCCCAATTCCTATATATATTTTTTTCATATCAGTCTAGTAACAAAAACAAAGTTAAACAAGACAGCAAGCACAAAATGCTGGCAAAGCAAAGAAAGAATTTTTCTTTTACTTTTCAAAAGAGGAGTGAACGGGGGTGGGGGTGTGGGGGAGGGCTGGGCAGGGAGAAAAGTGCAACAATGAATGGAAATTCAAAATCTCTGTAAATGTTCATTAAAATTATTAAAATAAAATCTAAAAAAAATTCTGGCAAAGATGTGGAGAGATTGGAACTCTCATATACTGCTGGTGGAAATGTAAAAATGATGCAGCCACTATGGAAAACTAGCGTGATGCTTCCTTAGAAAGTTGAGAAAAGAAATAAAACTTTATCCTGCAATCCCACTATTAGGTATATATCCCATAGGAATAAGAGCTGTGACACAAACTAACATGTACACTGGCATGTTTATTGCAGCGTTATTTACCACAGCAGAGTTGAAAATAAGTCAAGCGTCTATTAATGGATGAATGGCAAAAGAAACTGTGGTACTTTACACAATGGAGTATTTGCTTCACTAATGTGCTAAGGAATTGTACTGCCAACACAACGGTTTACTGTTTGAACCTAGCAGCTGCTTTGCAGGAGAAAGACAATCTCTTGTAAGTTACTGTGTCTAAAAACTCCCTGGACAATAGAAAAGGTTGATCGAAGATTGAGCTGTGGTGTTGGAAAGGAGCACTGAACATCGCATAGACAGCCAAAAGAACAAACAGATATGTCTTGGAGAAGGAGTAGTTGGAGTGCTCTTTGGAGGCAGAATGATGAGGTTTCACCTCACATACTTCAAGCACGTTGCTAGGAGGGGGTATTCTTTGGAGGAGAGGGACATGATGGTGGGAAAGGTGGAGGGTCAGCGAAGGAGAGGAAGATCTTTGACCAGGTGAACTGACGTGGTAACTGTTGCAATGGGCTCTAATGTGTCAGGAAGTGTGAGGATGGCACAGGATAGAACAGGGTTCAGGTCTGTTGTTCATAGGGTCATTATAGGTCATCTCAACTTGACAGTACCTAACAAAAACAACTCACTGGAGGGTCAGCTATGTCTTAGTTCTGACTCAAAAGTATTAAAAAATAAAAATGATCAGGAATGGGTAAAATATTGCAATTAGATGAATCTACAACAAATTATGCTGAGTGACATAAAACAATCACAAAAAGACATGATATAAAATGACTATTAGAAAAAGCTAAAGAAAGGGTTGCATACTGTAGGATCAGTCTTGGAGAGTTAACAAGGATGAGAATGAGGATAAAAATGAATAAATGAAAAAGGGGTGAATGGAAAACAATGTTGTTGTTATGTGCCATCGAGTCGCTTGTGACTCATACCAATTATGGAAAACAATACACAATAAGAAATTGATTAGACATGGTAATTAAATATATTAATAAATGGTAATTAAGATTATAACTATCAATGATTGTATGAAAACCCAACATGATTTGTAAACTTATACTCAAATTTAAAAACCTAATAATTTTAAAGTAGTTTTTAAAAATCCACAATTTACAGCCTTGGAAAACAACAACTACAAATTTGTTACTTTTTTTCAGTTACTTTGCTTTACAGAAATGCAAGTAGAGAAACAGGTAAGTATAGGTATCATACACCTTGCACACATTTGTAGTTTGAGGGTTTTTTTTAAAATAAAGTGGATCACCCTCACTGAATTATATTGCAATTTACTTTACCACTTAACAATATACCTTGAAATTTTTATTTACTGTAGATGCAAATAAACTTATTTATTTTAAAATAGCTGGATTAAATTCCATGTAAATATTTCTTCTTTATTGGACCTTTAAAAAGCTTCCCATTTTTTACCATTTAATAAAATGTTGGTATTAACATAATTTTACATTTATTTTGACAATATGTGCTGGACTTGTTGTAATACAAATTCCTAGAAGTAGAAATGGTGTCACATTATATATATGCAATATTTTAGTAGACATTGCCAAACTTCCCTCCCAAAATGCTTTTCTAATTTATGAGGTGGACATTGTATGAAACAATGAACAGCTGATCCGAACCCTGCCCTAACCTGTGCCATCATCATCTCTGACCCACTAGAGTCCATGTCTGAAATCTCTGTGTCACTATGTCAGATAGTCTATTTTCAAGCTTAGTGAAAATGTATATGTTTTTCTTCTTTGAATTGTTCTCAGCTTAAGAATTCAGGGAATTAAAAAATAAACCACTTGAGATAGTAATATTTTTCACGTAAGCTAGTTAAGGATTTGGATTATTTGGTTTGTTAGACAATTTATTTCTGTGGGAGGATGCACTTTCTGCATGCTTAATGAGGCTTTCCTGAAATTTTCATATCAAGTCCAGATTTGTCAAGTTACCACAGAGAACTTAGGCCATCTCTTCTTTAGTCCAATGACATTTATCAAACAAAAAAGGGCAGTGCATCCATTTAAGGAACAATCATAAAACGTTAAAATAAAATAGAAACTCTCAAAGTCTACCATGTACAAATTACCGTATTCGAGATAGAGTGTTCCGGAGTCCAACTACATAGAACAAGATGTTGGCATCTGTGTTGCTGTAGATGCTGTTGATGGCAGCCATGGTAGCACCCATTCTCCCAGCTGCTGCACAAATCACCACAGGGATTTCCTCTTCCACTTCCTCAGGAGTCTCTGAGTCATCCTCTGGAAGCATCAAAAACACTACCTTGGTGCATCAGTTAGAATAGAAAGGAATTTCAAGACAGAATCAGTTTAACATTGGGAGAGACAGCACCGCATGGAGTGGAAGAAATTACTATCAGTTCTGCAATATTTTATCTTTCCTTCTCTTAGCATCCTAGAACTTCAGCTGGCACATAGTTACCATTAGGCCTATTATTCACATAGCTCCACGAGACCAAGATCTGACCAAAAGGATGCTAGAACAGATAATACCTACAACTACTAAGTCTTCCTTTAAAAGGAATGTGCTTCCTCTCCCCAGTTTCCTCTGCACTGGCTGAAATGTAGATATGATGGTGGGAGTTGGAGTAACCACCTTAGAATACAACAAGATAGAAGATACCATCAAAGCAGTAAGATAAAGGAGATGTTTATTTAAAATTATGGAGCTGAAATATAAGACTTTTACTTTAAAAAATCTCTTTATCTTATGTCACTACTACTTTAGAACTGTTACAAGAACCAACACACTGGTGCAATCACTGTGGAGGCAGTATGGCGCTTTCTCAAAAAGGTGCAAATAGAGATACCATTTGACCCAGCAATTCCACTATGGGAATATACCCCAAAGAGACCAGAACTGCCACCCAAGCAGATATATGCACACTCATGTTTATCACAGCTAATAGCAAAGAGCTGGAAACAACCCAAGTGCCCATCAACAAACAAATGGATAGAGAAGATGTGGTATATTCACACAATGGAATACTACGCTGCATTGAAAAACAAGGAACTCATGCAATA